CCGCCCAAATCGTCTACAAATAATCGCAAAACACAAACACTTTCATTGTTTTTGTTATTGTGTGCAAAATGTCTGCCGTTTTTTGTCTCATAAACTGATAAATACCGCAATTATTAGTCACTAATCGAGTGCTTGTATTCAGTGCCTAACTGTCCCCTCTCACTGTGTACGGGACACACCTATACTATACACTACCTGTCCCTACCGATCCACACGTACACACGTGCGGACAGACAACACGTGGTGTGTGTGAGCCATGACTACCTTAAACTCGTTGTTCAGTTTCACTTCGCCGGCCGTTAAGAAACTATTAGGTATTGTATACCCATTGCCCGCATACCTGTCCCCTACCTCCCTGTCCACTCTATACCTACGTACGCCTAGCAACCCCCTCCCAGCCCCACCACCACGTGCCACATGAATGCCATGTTTACGGCGTGAACGCCACCTAAACACGTGATTTAGTCACTGTTTACGAGTGGTGTCATTAACCCCCTCCCGATGCTGTACGTAATACCACGCCTACCAGTCCCCCACCACCTAGCACTATTTGCTACCCTTCCCTATGAGCACCGGTAGTACACGCGATCGTACTGTCCGATGAGCTAATCGGTGGTCATTGCTTATCGATACCGTATGTGTTATCGCGTGTCCGATGACTAATACCTGTGCCTCCCTTTCCCCTATCAACTGTCCCCCTATTTGCTACCCTTCCCAATGAGCACCGGTAGTACACGCGGTCGCACTGTCCGATGTGATCACTATCGGTGGTCATTAATAACTATCCTATTTATGAATGGATACAATACTACTATATATGAGTTTTCCGATGACTAACATATCTGTGCCTCCCGTTCCCCTCTCAATGGCGCCGTTAGGCTGGAAACAGGGCGACGAGGAGGAGAAGTGGGCGGAGAAAGCGGTCGACTCGTTGGTGAAGAAGCTGAAGAAGAAGAAGGGAGCGGTCGAGGAGTTGGAGCGGGCGCTCAGCCAACCCGGACAGCCATCGAAATGCGTGACAATCCCCCGTTCGCTGGACGGCCGGCTACAGGTGTCCCACCGGAAAGGCCTGCCGCACGTGATCTACTGTCGCGTGTGGCGGTGGCCGGACCTCCAGTCCCACCACGAGCTCAAGCCCTTAGAGCACTGCGAGTATCCGTTTTCGGCCAAACAGAAGGAGGTGTGCATTAATCCCTACCATTACAAGCGCGTGGAGAGCCCCGGTATGTAGTATTGGTGTTTGTGGAGCACTGGTAGATTTTTTTTGTGGTTTGTTTTAATGGTTTTGTTTGTTTTGTATGTAGTGTTGCCGCCGGTTCTCGTGCCCAGACATTCGGAGTACCCCTCGTCGATGAATATACCGCAGGCGCCCACCTTTCATCCGGTATGCGTTGATTTTACTGTCCATTTCTGAAGGGGACGGGTGGGTAGGGGTTTGGGTACTGACTGTAGGTTAGTGTGCGAGAGTGAATGCAGTTATTAGTGGGTTTGTAAGTGAGTGTGTGGTTGTGTGAGAGAGAGAGAGGGGGGAACGGTAGCCATTGCGATGTGAACCCTGGGTTCGCCATAGACTACCATTTGGTGCAACCCTTCCTCAAACATCGCCAAAACAAACTCGTAATCAGTTTTCAACAATAATTGAGACATAAATTTGACACTAATTTTAGCGTTAAATACGGATTTATGTAACGATTACGAGAACTGATTATACATTACGTTTATAGACAACTATTTGATACCCTGTTTGTGTGTTTAGTATTGAATATCACGTGTAATTTAATGGGTTTTTGTGTGTTTTGTTAGGTACCGGAGCCGACAATGCCGCACAACGTCTCCTACTCGAGCACCGGGTTCACCACATCGACAAACGGTTCGCAAAACTCGCTGAACATGTCGGTGCCTTCACCGGCAGGTTCTAGTATAAGCTCGTCAACAGCCGGCCCGCAGTCACCGTTCGTTTTGCCCCGTAATGAGAGTTTTTGTTTGTTTTTTTGTGTTTACTTTTTATTGATTTATAGCTTTTTATTTGTTTTGCAAACTTTTCTATCATTTTATACTTTGTTTCGTGTTTTTGTTGTTTATTTGTGTTATAGTTTTGAATTGGTTTTTCATTTTGAACTCAATATTAGTTTTGTTTTGTTTTTTTTGTTAAACTTTATTTGAGATTAAGTTTTTGTTTGTTTTGTGAATTGATTTATAGTTAGTTTAATGCTTTCCCCCTAAAGACTAATGACTGCCTAAACAACCTGTCCGTTAGTGAGAGTCCAGTGATTTAATATGTAATGTTTAGTACAGTTGGAGACTAATAGATAAATAGGATTTTAATTAACACTTAATATATAGCGAGAGTTGTCTGTATTGACTAAACCCTATGCTCTAACTGTGTCTCTAATATCTGTCTAACCGCTAACCACTGCCTACCTGTGCGCGCCTCTCATTGAATATCAAAACCAATGTATTTTGTATGACTAACACGTTGTTCTCTATACGCTACCTGTGCTCCCGTACGAACACCAGTGGCCGAGACACCACCGCCGGCCTACTCGCCCCGCGATGACAACGCCATGAGTAGCGACAACTCGATGGACACGACGGATATGCCACCCGATGTGCAACAGATTGCATACCAGGAGCCGCAGTTCTGGTGCTCTATAGCCTACTACGAGCTGAACTCGAGGGTCGGGGAGGTATTCCACGCGCAGACCAACTCCATAGTGATCGACGGCTTCACCGATCCGTCCAATAATAACAATCGCTTCTGTTTGGGGCTCCTGTCGAACGTCAATAGGAACTCCACTATCGAGAACACCCGCAGACATATTGGCAAAGGTATGGGTGCTTATGGTGTAATGTGTGTGACATGTGATGGACGGGTAGTTTGCCTGCAGGGTTTGTGCCACTATTACACCGATAGCTGTACTGATAGTATGTTTTAGTGAGATGTTTAGGTCACTGTGTTTGTGAGATATACTGTATAAGCGTTTGTAATAGTGATGTGTGAACTCCTGGCCGGCAGACCTCCCGTCCCCCCTGTCATTGATACCGATGTGAACCCTGGGCTCACCAATGCGAGCGTAACAGCTCTACCCGTTTGGCGCAGCCCTTCCTCAAACATCGGCAAATCGACGCTTAATAAGTGTTTGAATTTTATTTGTATTCAAAAAATGTGTTTTAAATTTTTGAGTACAAAACCAAACACTTATTATACAAAACATATATTAGTTGTGTAATTGAGTTGAGAGGCTAATCGTGTGCGATCTCCCCGTGCCGTAGGTGTGCACCTGTACTACGTGGGCGGCGAGGTGTTCGCGGAATGCCTGTCGGATTCGGCTATTTTCGTGCAGTCCCGCAACTGTAACCACTCTCACGGCTTCCACCCGACCACCGTCTGTAAGATACCGTCCGGTTGTACGCTCAAGATATTCAATAACGCCGAGTTCGCCAGTTTGTTGACACAGGCTGTCAATCAAGGTATGTGTGCTAACCTACCGGTGCTACTGTTGGTGAGAGTGTGTGTGTAAGAGTCGGTTGATTACCAGATATTGACTCCCGATATGATAGTCTATATCGAAATGAAACCGAGAAAGTAATTAATTTTTTATATAAAATCCTACTTTTCTGGCAATTATTTATTGTATTAAAGTGTGGAAAGTATAAAAACAATGCATTATACGCTGTAATATAATTTTGTAGTGTGAGTGAGTGAGTGAGTGAGTGAGTGAATAGAGACTGAAAATATGGTATTCATATAAACACTGAGCGGGTAATGTATGTATGGCTACATAATTAGCTAAATGTATGGCACCGACAGAATGTCATTGATACCGATGTGAACCCTGGGCTCACCAATGCGAGCGTAACAGCTCTACCCGTTTGGCGCAGCCCTTCCTCAAACATCGGCAAATGAACGCTTAATAAGTGTTTGAATATTATTTGTATTTAAAAAATATGTTTAATTTTTGAGTACAAAACCAAACGCTTATTATACAAAAATATATTAGTTGTGTGTCATTGAGTTGAGAGGCTAATCGTGTGCGATCTCCCCGTGCCATATAGGTGTGCACCTGTACTACGTGGGCGGCGAGGTGTTCGCGGAATGCCTGTCGGATTCGGCGATTTTCGTGCAATCCCGCAACTGTAACCACTCGCACGGCTTCCACCCGACCACTGTTTGTAAGATACCGTCCGGTTGTACGCTCAAGATATTCAATAACGCGGAGTTCGCCAGTTTGCTGACACAGGCTGTCAATCAAGGTATGTGTACTGAGGACTAACCCCTACCGGTGCTAGTGTTGGAAGGAGAGGAGGGTGTGTGTGTTGTATGTGTAAGGGTCGGTTGATTACCAGATATTGACTCCCGATATGATAGTCTGTATCGAAATGAAACCGAGAAATTAATTTTTTTATATAAAATCCTACTTTTCTGGCAATTATTTATTGTATTAAAGTGTGGAAAGTATAAAAACAATGCGTTATACGCTGTAATATAGTGTTGTAGTTTGAGTGTGTGTGACATACCGGTGCCCATCAATTGCTTATTTGTGTACTAATGATCTGTTTGTTTTTGACGGGAACTGTAGGCTTCGAGTCGGTGTACGAGTTGACCAAAATGTGCACAATTCGCATGTCGTTCGTGAAGGGGTGGGGCGCTGAGTACCACCGCCAGGACGTGACCTCCACGCCCTGTTGGATAGAGATCCACCTGCACGGGGCCCTCCACTGGCTCGACAAAGTGCTCACCCAAATGGGTAGCCCCCAGAACCCCATCTCCAGCGTCTCATAACCACTACGACTACTGTATAGTCTATCAGTGTTTGTGTTATATATTATGTGTGTTTTTGGTGGACAGACACCAAAAGCTATTCATTCAAACACTACCCGTTCATTACAAGCAGGTGTCTGTCGGTGCCATACATTTAGCTAATTATGTAGCCATACATACATTACCCGCTCAGTGTTTATATGAATACCATATTTTCAGTCTCTATTTGCTCTCAGCCCCTACACCTACATCTCCCTGGAGTTTAGCTAATACTACACTAGTTTGCAATATAAATACAACGCTATTATTATAATGATTATATAATTTGATTATTTTTTTGATAGCAATCATTGAGTTTATTGTTTTGTATATTTATGATGAAAATTATGTTTTTATTTTGAGATTTCAATGAATTTTTTTGGTGGTTATTATAAGCGAATCGATTAGTGTTTGATTAGATTTATGTTTTAGTTTTTTATGAGTATTTTAAGCCATTTTACGATACAGTTTACGACTGGACTATTAAATGAAAGCAATAATTAGTTGACATTATTATAAACTCTAAATATATTTTTGGCGTAATATTTAAACTGCAATTATGTTACCGAATACTAGACTATATTTTGTGTTTAAAATTGTTTTTTTGTAATTTCATTTTATGTGCAAACAATTTGTAATCAAAATGATTTGTTTTATCTCTCATTTATATATATATATACTTCTCAATGAAAAACACTGAAACTATTGCAACACTATTGAGAATCAAAGTATGAAAACAGCGATTATTTTTTGAAATGTTTTTTAATTATTATGATATATTTTCTCTGTCTATATATTGGAGGCGAAAAAAGTTTTAAAAACTCTATTCTGTCGCGCTTTTTATGGATTTAAAACTTTGTATGTTTTAAATGACTTACTGTTTGTTTAGTTATTATTATTATTAGATTACCAATGACTGCGACTATGTTTGTGTAATTTAATAGTGATCTATGTGTTGACTATTTTCATTATGATGATAATGATAACTATAAATATATTATAATTTGATAATTATGTGTAGATTTTTATGTTTTTTGTTGTCAATACCCGTAGCTATTATGCCATTACTTACGAAACCACTCGTTATAATAATGTATAGTAAACGCCAATTGAATGAATACATCGAAAAAAATACATTGCATTTATAAACCACACAAACACTAACTATAAGTGTATTTATTTTGTTGTGTTTGTTATACATACATACACACTATAAAAGTTACCTATAATTAAATATAAAATGTACTTTTCTCTATAATCTCGTACCATACATGCCATACCATTACACTGTGTGTACATACACTGCGCTATAACGAGTGATTGTGTAGTGAATGATATGATTTGAAAACACAGATTGTATTTGAGATTAGATTTGAGGCCAAAAAAGTAGACTTAAAAATTGAAACTTAGATTTTTAGCGTCCGATTGCATCGATGAGTTTAGTGTAGTCCATGGGATTAGTAGAGATTAATTGCAATTAAAGTTTTAATAGTTTTTAATTAATAGTTTATATACGCTATTAGTGAATGAAATATGAAATACTGATTACTGTATACCATATATGCGATAATAATGTGCTATAAATACCATTACATACACAACGAAAACATGAGTTATATTTCTCGCTCTCATTTCATACATTGTTTTTATGTTTTAAATTAAATTAAAATTTAAATCAAATTTAAATTCAATTTTGATTATCAATTATGTAAAAAATGATATGTAATTATGATGATGAAAAAAGTAATGCCAATTAATATGATAATAAAAATTATTGTTTCCAAAACGATAATTCAATACTTAATAGTCTTTTTTATTTAATTAAACTTGGTAAAATTGTTAAAATAAATTAAACTTTGTAGTTTTAAATTGTATTATAATTTTATTTTAGCACTTAATGGATATACATTAGCATACTATTTATATCGCAGTTACCCTGTTACAGTTAATGGTAGTTAACGTTTAGTCATATTGATCATCGGTGAATGGTGCCGGGGTAGGTGGCGGTATGTTGTCGATAATTTCCTGAATGAACTTGCTCATACGCGCGTACGCCTTAGTGGCCCACGTGTAGATTTCGTGCCGTTTAGCCGGGTCCTTTTCGGTTTTCAGTTTCTCCTGGGTGCTATTCTGTAGGTTTACAATGAAAATGAGATATATATTAGCTTGATTAATATTTACTAGGTTGTTTAAAATACAATATACTACTGTAGTGTGATTATGGTTAAAATGACGCTGATAAAAACAATTTCTACTGTTATTGATTCGGTAATCATATATTAGTTAGAATTAAATCAAACTTTTTGTTTTTCTACAAAGTTTATAAGTGAACTAGGCAATATTATCTTAAAGTAAACTTATGCATATTATAATAAAATTAACAAACTGTAATAAATATATAGAGTAAAACTGCTCTAGTTCATTCTAATTGATAATATTAATTTCATTGGTTATTCAGTCGCCAGGATAAAATTATATTATCAGATTACCAATATATTTAATTAATTTTTAAAATGAACTAATAGAAATTTAAAATAAGCGCAAATTATATACTAGTTAATAAATACCAGATATTATCTAGTTAATTTATTTGATTATATTAATAGAATATTAAAAAATTATATACTCGGACAAATAAAAAATAAACTACACCCTACCTCTAAATCATCGACCCCCTTGGACAGCCGGGTGCAAAAGCTGGTGATGTAGTCGCTTTTCATGGCGTCCATAATCTCCTTGAGCTTCTGTCGGCCCAGTTTGAGGGCCTCCTGTTCCTGAACCCTACCTCTAAATCATCGACCCCCTTGGACAGCCGGGTGCAAAAGCTGGTGATGTAGTCGCTTTTCATGGCGTCCATAATCTCCTTGAGCTTCTGTCGGCCCAGTTTGAGGGCCTCCTGTTCCTGCTTATGGTCCTCGTCCTCATCGGCCCTCACTTTACGTGTCGTAAATAAATTCAAATTAAATTTAAACAAATCGCACGTCACGTATAGGACGACCCCGATATTGAGAGCCAGGTAGATTAGCGCACATTTTAGGAATACGGTATTATATCGTGTGACATAATAAGCGCATATAATTAGGCCCACGAGCTCAACGTATCCGGTTAATTTAGCAAGCATGTTTATAGTGCTACGGGAGTTACGTATACTAACTATTTATATAGTATTTTGCACTATAACTACTAGTAACATTAATTTTATTAGTAGTGCACCACAATTAACTATATATTACCGGGAATTTGGTACAAATTGTATCCGGTAATATTGAATAATAGTGAAAAAAATTACACCGGTGTCATATGAACCTAGATAAGTTTCCTGATGAGAACATTTTATTTTAGTAAAAACTATTTTTACAAATTGTTTGTAAAATTAGTTATTCAATATAAAAACAAATTAGCACCACATGTGCGCTACACACATAAAAACACACATATTTTTATACAGTAAACATTTAAATACAATTTAAATAGTTATGTTTATTTACCCAATAATAGTGCCGATGTTAACACAATTGCGAGTAAAATAAATTTTTGCATTTTGTATGTTTTCGTATGGATTACTTCGCTACTAATGAGATACTATTTAATTAATAACTAATAAATGGACTAATTTTTTGTAGTATGCCTGACAATAGCACTGGTACTTATAGCTAAAGGGGGTTATCTCTAGTTATATTACTCCTATAATACATTAAAATCGTATTTAATTAATCATATCTTAAGCACTGATTTATATTTTTCCTATTGAATCGCTATGTTATCAATAACTTGACATTTATTTTCACATTATTGTACTAAAAAAATGCTATCAATTATTAATTAAGCATATAGAGTTTTATATGAGTTCATGATGCACTAAAAATAATTAAATTTAATCAAGTCAATTAAATAAATATATTTTAAAAGTCTGTTTATAATATACGGTACATGATGAATTCTGTATTTTACAGTTAATTGTA